TGACGCCGATGCTGCAGCTTGTGGGTACCTTAGAGAACGTAGCGAGTGTATTTGGTCAAGCACTGATCACCCCAGAGGGTAAATTCCATAGCAGCCTTTAGTTATTAGCATATTCAATTCAGTACATGTAGTATTATCATGCTTTACTTTCTGTTTCTGGAGCCCCGTTCTTTACGATGCTCACTACCTCCATTGGTGATTCCCAGTCGCGCGCGAGAGGCGCTTGAACTGAGACTCATACTACTAGCAGGCCCACTGGCTCTACTACCGGGCGTAGCATCCGGGTAGACACCTTTGACGTTGAATGTCCACTGCATCTCCTCGGTGCAGATCACAAGTTGACCTGACTGCATCTTGCCGTAGCCCGTGGGTGTAAAGGACACAACGAACATGGTGCCGTCTTCACTACCGTACGGGGGTAACTCGCCCTCTGCTGGGTAAACCGTGAACGCACTGGACGAACCGGCAGAGAATTCAGCGAGAAAAGCTGCAGGTTGTCTGAACTGGTTGCGTAGTTGGAAGCTCACAGAAGATGTTTGGTTCAAACTCGACTCGATGGAGAGAACGTCGTCGACCGGCGGGTCTCCAGCATCCAGCGAGACGTCAAAACGCCATAAACCTCCACTACTCTTCTTCACTAACAGCACGATAGACCCTCGATACGGACGCAAAGGTTCGAACCGAATCGTGTACGGGAGGATGAAGGAGCTGGAACTTGACGGAACCGGTAACGGGGTCACGGTTAACGCCCGTTCGATTGCAGCAGCTGTAGCCATGGGGCCGAACCGACCAGCGTCAATCTCCCAATCGACCGTGAACGTCTCGTTAGCCAATACCATGTCGTCCGGTGCGGCAAGTAGTTCGCAATCTACACGTTTCTCAACCGAGTCACGTGCTTGACAGGCAAGTACAGCCAAAACTCGAGGATGCAGTGGAGCCTCAGCCACACCACGCAATGGATATCGCCACTCTAGCTCTGCATACTCGTCACCGCCGTGGATTACAAGCTCTGCCCGTGTTTCACTCACTACGCGGGGTATGAAGGAAATTGGTACTTGGAGTAATCCAAAGCTTTCGAGAAGTACGTGGCGTTTCTTCAGTAGCATGTCGAATACGGGACTTGGAGGAGAGTTCTCACTCTCCGCTGCAACCAGCTTGACGTCGACTCGAAGTGGAGCTGCGAAGGGGTTTTTGAATGTAAACAACGTCGATGCAGCCTCATTGACTCGTGCTGTGACTACTAGAGGCTTCATAACACTAGGAGCTCGTCCTCGACCTCGAACTGTGAATTCCCAGTCACTCACTACGTCCTTTTCGAAGAATACGATACTAGTATTCTCAAAGTCGGAGAGTGACGATGGCGTGTACTCTACCACGACACTGGCACGACCAAACGGAGGAAGTGCCACACGCTTCACGGTATTATTTGTCGTACTGTTCGACCCTTTGATGGAGAAATTGCGAGTGTTACTGATACGGTACTGGAGTTGTAGCTCTTGATCACTGGGGTTTTGAAGCCACAGCGGCTGAGTACAGACATCCCCTACAGCACACGACATATCGTCGAGTTCGTGAGGATCAGCGGACTCCGCTACGAGGATTAAACGGTACCAGAACTGTCCGACAGTGTCACTAGAAAAGAGAATAGCACCTTCCTCTCCAGCGTCCTTCATCACCAATAGAGGAGAGTAGACCAGCTCGTAGACTCCGGATTGTCGTGCTTCAAGCGTAAAGGTAGTAGGGCCAAGTAACCCACGACCACGGAGCTCGACAGTGAAGGTGGTTTCGCTGTCTAAAGGGTTAGCCAATCCGATCTCGATACCGACTGCCCCGCGTACTGGAGCTCGCATCTCCAGTGTTGTCTCTGGTTCTGGGGGACTAACAGAGGCTTCCACTGTGTACCAGATATATTCACTGGTAGCTTCATTGGTAAAGGTGACAGAGCCAAAGTACGAACCACTGACTAACGGACTGAAGGTCAGCGGATATTTGACACTACGGTTTAAGCCACCAGCAGGTACAGCGATGGTAGGAGCACCAACAACGTCTCGTAAATCCGATTCCACTTTAAACATTTGAGCAGCATTCGCGTCACCCCCGGGAAGAGCGAATACGTTGAAGTTGTGTACGATACTGGTGCGAGCTTGGCAGGTTAACACCACGTGGTCTTGAGCTAAAGGTTCTTCACCGTAACCGCTAAGTTCAAACTCAAACTGCTGCTGTGTCGATGTATTTAAGAGTACAAACGTCCTGGTCTCGTGATACATCCACGTCGGAGTGAATGTAAGTGGATAAGTCGCTGATCTCTTGGCAGGAACCATAAGTGTTGGTGGACCGGAGAACATTGATACAGGAGGTTTAGTAGTCGACGTATCAGTCTTCCCACTACTGAAAAT